TCCATAAGACTATCATCTGATTCTTCGCAATAATTCTCAATTTCGCTTTCTGATGTTTCCTCATCAAAAACTTTGCGAATATGGGATTTAGACTGTTTCTTTTCTATATTGCTTGCCTTTATTTCCTGTGCCCGTTTCTTTTCTTCCCCTTTTTCTCTTGGAGAAGCTACATGTTATATAGAAGCCGGAGACAGAATAGTCTCTGTCTCCGGCTTCTATATAACATGTAGCTTCTCCATTTTAAAAAATTTTAAAGTGTTTGTTTGTCTTTGTGTATTGTATTGTTATGTCCAAATTTACATGTATGAAATTCTGCTCATGTCGGATAGGCCACAACTGACGAAATGCCCCTGAGGATGATCTATTGATCGAAAGTACTTGGGCAAGATTGAATTAATTACTGTGTTCGATATTTGCTTTGTATACCATCAAAGTTCAAATAATAAATTGTTTTTCTTCTGTTCGGAACCTTTTAATTGTTCTTAGTTATTACCTTCCCCAACAAACAATATACTTTTTGTCAAGAAGTAAAACTCTTTTGTTACATTTTTACCACGAAAAACCTATTTCCTTAAGACTACTGGTAGTTGGTCGTCTTCTGTAATCTTCTTCTTCAGTGTCTTATTCGGTCCGGATGTTGGGGATCATCAAGGATGTCATGGTTTTGTTGACTGCTCTGCGAAACAGCTCCGCGGAGGTCATCCCAAACCATTTTCGGGGGTTTTTCAACCACGAGATACGAAGAAGAATTCGATATCTTTCTTCGTTCCGCATCACATGGCCGAGGTACTCAAGCTTACGTTGTTTCACTAAATTAAGCACTTACCACAAACCGAATGGTTTTTTTAGCATGACACATTCTCCAGCTTTGGTTTCTTTTAAAAATCGCTTTTTGACTGGCAACCTATTATCAACGTATTCTCCTAATTTTAAATGTATGTAAAACTGTGAGTTTGTATAACTACGTTATGAACGTAGTGATCCTGCAGTGGGATCTGCACGAAACATATACCCAGATGCTGCAAACTAAAATATACCTATATCTGATGCTACATAGGAAACAGATACAGTTATGAAAAAATATCAAAGCCTTTTGAAAAAGGATTATAGAATACGTTACAACATTGGTTCAAGCATTAAGCAAAAAAGAACATATTTATTGTCTTTCGTATTTTTCGTCTATAATAAACTTCGCCCCAGTAGCCTTTACAATGTTATCGTAATCTTTTTAAAATGCAAATACATTACTGCTTACAAATTGATATCGTTATTGTTCACAGTTATAGGCGTCTAAAACATTTAGCAAAGCAAAATACCTGCATAAATATTCAGACATTGTCATAGTGAACTCCTTTTGATTCGTTAACATTCTTTACAAGGTCAGGATTTGTTATAGCAGACTGAAAATCGGATGCTACCACAAAAAATCGAAGGTTTCACTTCAATGCCTTTCAACGTTCCAGTCCTCGGCAATTTTGCGTGGGAAAACGGCTTGTATTGTCTTTGTTTAGTCGTTAAAATAAATAAGTACTTCTAGAGATAATTGGCTATAAAGGAATTAAAAAAGTGTTTACCAATTGATTGTTTAGACTATTGAGGTATGTTTGGAAAACTGCAGCCCTAATAAAACGCTGCAGTTGTCATATATTCAAACAAAACAATTAAAGAAATGTTTATAAATACAACGTGTGTGTGGGTGTGTGCTTTTTTTAATTTGTGTTTTGTACAGGAAGATTGAAACTTGTTTACCACTGGTGATGGTTGATGGTATTCTGGTTTTTGAAAAACTGTTTCATAGGTTCTAAGAAACGTACAGGAAAGAAGAGCTCATTTTTATCTATCTCTGTCTTACTGACAGAGCAATTAAGCTATCTAGTCCACAATACCATTCCGAATATCTGCAAAAAGGTAAAGATATCTGAGAAAAAATAATTATCCTCCAGAAGTTGTATTATCAGAAATCAATCTAATTCCAATATTGGGAAAATATTAAGATTAGATTTAAATCGTCACAAACATCCGGAAAATATTTTTTTAAATGTAAACCCAATGTTAATAAAGATCATCAGTTGGATGTTATATATAAAATAAATTGTAAAGACTGCAATTCAACATATATTGGGCAAACACACCAATATATGCATAGAAGGGTTGTGCCACACTAACATATTGTACAAAACTACAAGATAAACACAACAGCTTCACCGAAGCATTCTCTAGAAAACAGTTATTCTTTGGTTTTGAAAATGCATAGATTTTGGAAAAAGATCAAAATTCTATCAATAATAAGACTGACACCAAAGATCTTTCCAATCTGTATAACAATTTAATAAATTGAGTTGTTTTTAACAGCAATATGAATGATGTTTAAAATAAGACACTGAACACTGAGCTACAAACTCAGCATCCAGCGGATATCCAGCGGATAAAACGTTTTACATTGTAGCGTTTTATATTTTAGATTTCTGTAATACACCCCTGGTTGTTTTTACCAAGAAAACGATCGTTAATATAGGAAGTTTTTTTTTTTTTTTTAATATTTCGACGAAGTTAAATGTATGTTGTAAATATTTCAAGTTTTTTTTGACGAGATTTTTAAATGCGTAATAACGCTGGAAATATTTTTTTATCTCTGTTACAAAGTCAGGTAGAACTCCGGTTTAAAAACTACGTGCTATTTTGTTAATTTGTATTATGTTATATCTATTTCGACAAGTTTTTTGTCGCATAAAGGGATTATATTTCATGATGCCCCCTAATATAAAAAAGAGTTTTTATTGGTCTTTCATCGTAAGGAACGAATAACAAGGGGAATATTTGTTTGTTTAGGTTTTGTAAACACCAGGGGGAGAGTTATTTTATGGCGTCGAATTTGTAAAATTTAGCGCAAATAGAGAGTCCAAGAACATATTTGAAACTGGGCAGACGTGTTACAATGTAGGGTCTAAGAAAGATTTGAAACGGTACAAACGTTTACGATGATAGTGAAGCGACAGATTTGAAATGTAAAATGTGGGGCAATTTTTGAATCGAAGAGTCTATTCAATTTTTTTTGTGATGTCTTAAGACCAGTTAAAATGCTTTGCATAAGCAGCTTTGTCAGAGTAGTCATTAGAAGATTGGAATAGAAACTGGCAATTTTTGAAAAGTATGATATAGAATGTCCCCGTAGTCAGCCTGATTCTTCCACCAAGTTCCTGTTTCAATTGTTCCTGCCTGAGTATGGAAATGGTTTCTTGTTCCTGTTAGAGAATATGTCCAGAGATGTAGCAAGTTTTTCCTTTAAAAAGTTAAGTGATTATGTGAATTAAGGTAACAATTTAATATATTAATTTTCTCAAGTTATAAAGACATTTTTAATAATTTGCTTTCATTAAAATAAAAGAATTTGTAATAATTAAAGTTTTATATTATTTTTGTCGTAGCTAGAAAATGTCATATTTTATTCTGATTTAAAATGTTATGTTTTACAAATTGTTTTTGTAAAACAATTTTAAATTTGATTTTGATATATAAAAGATATTTCATATATAAGGTTAAATTCAATAATATTTTCATAAAAAGGATATCCATAAAATTTTGATAATCTAAATTGGCCATATATAACCTAGGAACCATTTCAAAATTTTTGTAGCAATCTTTTATGTAAACAAAGAACATGTAAGTTTTTATTAATTTGGATTATGTTGTATAATATGTTCTTGTAAAATCTGTATTTTTGATAACTGTTTGTTTGAGATAAAAATAAACGTTTAATTTGTTCCTCTGATCTATTTTGAGTTTTATTTGAAAAAGATATTTTTTTTTCTATAGTTTCGATGTTCTATAATTATTTCCCTAGTTACAACTAGTGGTTGTAATAGGTATAATTAGGCACCTCAAGTGGCGCCCTATATTAAATTCCTTGAGGTGTTTTCAGTTTATTTTCATTTTGTTTGTCCCAAGAGATTTGTATAAGTACCCCTTTATTTCTTTTTTTGTAGTTGCCCCAATCCAACCCCCATATCTTCAACTTATCCACGACCCAGCTCTCCAACAACTAACTGAGTGCCGTACGCACTTGTTTCGATTTATTTTGTTTGCCCAATCTTCTCCCCCATGTTCTTACCCTGAGGTAAGCAAAAAATAGTCGTTACAACATTCGCTTAACTAAAAAATTAAAAACAACTACAAATCGTACAAAAACCACAGACACACAGAGCCAATGGGCAAGAAGCGATAAAGAAAAATCAGAATTATTGAAGTTAACTTCACAACAATGAAGAAGATCAAGAAATTATTAATTATTTAAATTCTGAACAACCATGAGTGAAGCCAATAAGACAAACAACGGCAAAAGAACTTAAAGAAGAAATCTCAAGATTAAATATCAAAAAGTCACCAGGAATTGACCTAATAACACTAAAAATGGCAAAATAATTGCCCAAAAAGGATATAGTATTCCTTACATATAAATTTAACGCAATATTAAGGTGTAATTATTGGTCTAATAATCTTAAAATTGCATAAATACGTTTATTCCCACGACCAGCAAAGGATCCCAGTAAGGTCTAATCTTATCGACCTATTAGTCTGAGACAAACTGTGACAAAAAGAAATCAATTGGTTAATTGGAAAAAACTCTAAGCTGTCAATAAATAATAAGCTAATTAATGAATAAATATAAGGTTGAATGTTCGAATAAATGAACTTTGATGGTACACAAGGCAAATATCGAACACGGTATTTAATCAAATCTTGCCCAAGTACTTTCGATCACAAGATCATCTTCAGGGGCATTTCGTCAGTTGTGGCCTATCCAGCAGTAACAGAAGTTGTTTAGTTTATTTGTTATGTCCCAATTTACATTTATGACATTCTGTTACTGCTGGATAGGCCACAACTGACGACATGCCCTTGAAGATGATCTTGTGATCGAAAGTACTTGGGCAAGATTTGATTAAATACCGTGTTCGATATTTGCCTTGTGTACCATCAAAGTTTAATTAATGAATACTTACATGCTAGCAGCATAAGTATTGCAGTGGCTGTAATGTTTCCTGGAGACCTCTTCCAACATCCTGTTACCCCTGTACAGAAGGCAGCAAAGACAGCTATGAACGATATGATAAAGAGCGCTATCATGGAGCGTCCCATATCTGGAAAATATAGATTTTATATTAATTAAAATGTTCATAAATATTTTTCACTACATTAGTGATACTATCCTTTTATATAGTTATGTCCATGGACGTACGTCCATGGTTATGTCCTATTAAAATTAAATGGTGTACACATAACCAAACTTATATGGAATCTCCAGGTATTTCAAACCAATATTTAATTATTTTGAAAAATCTTGTTATTGTTGTGAATAATAAAGGTTTTTATTGAAAATAAACAAACCAATAAAACAATAAGATAACAGTCCGGTACGGTATAGATTATTTGTTTTAGTTGTAAATTGAACGAAATTAAATAAACTAACTTTCGCTTTCAAAAACGAAAATATGCCTTATGAAAGGTCAACGGATGTGCAAAGAAGAAAGATTATTGGTCTTGTGGAGCAAGGAATGTCTTAGAGGGACATAGCTGCAGTGGTAGGCGTAACATAGGTAGTTGTGTTAAAAACCTATGTTAGGTATCAGGACTTAGGAACGTTTAAGAATAGACAAATATAAAGTCGCCAAAAAGTAACAATGACTTACCACGATCGTTTTATTGTCCAAGTAGCTAAAAGAGACCCACCACTTTCTCACCCACAACTCCAAAAGCTTTTGAAAGGTACAGGTGTAAGAATTTCAGTTGAAACGATAAGAAAAAGACTCCATACCCAAAGACTATACAACAGTAGACAGTTACAGGTTTCCGAGTTAACCAGGCAGCACAAGATTGATCACCTAAATTGGTGTCTTCAATACCAAAATTGGAACATTCGAAATTGTCAAAATGTACTAGTTTCAGACGAAACCAGGATTTGTGTAAAATCATATAACCGATGAATTCGTGTAGATAGAGGGCGAGGAAGACAATCAAAAATGGAAACAGCCAGATCTGTTCACAGACATAAGGGAGAAAGTGTTACGTTCTGGGGAAGTTATATGGTCGGTGGAAAAACTCCTTTAATTTTCATCAACCAACTTTAATAGATCGCAGGTATGTTGATTTGGTTCTAGAACCTGTACTTAGACTCTGAAAAAGTGCAAAATCAGAAGATATTTCTATTCTGTAGTGGCCAGCTTGCTCACCCGACCTTAATTCTATAGAGCACTTATGGGATATGATTAAAAAAAGAATTAGATCTCGCCGGCATAATTCACAAAACATTATAGAGCTAGTACAAGCTGCTCTTGAAGAAAGAAAACAATATACGCGAATTGGAACTTGCCTAAGGCCTAGGGCTAGTAACACCGACATGAAATTTTGTATGCTATTGACTTTAAAATAAATATTCTTGGACTTAGAAGGTTTGTTTTTTTAAAATTCGATTAAAATAATAAAAGTGATGATTCCATATAAGTTTGATTGCGTGTAGATTAGAATATTAGAAATCGATATAAACAAATTTACTCGATAGCTATCTCAATATGAGATTAGGTGTAATGTAAGTGTGCCATCTGACTTTGATGTTCCTTTTATATATTTATGATCTCAAACTATATTTTTTAGGCTCTGAGACTTCTAACAACACTTGTTGATAAGCTTTTTGAAATAATGTTTTTCGTGATCGTGGTCACTGGAGAGGTTAGTTCCTATCTGAATTGTGATATTTTTTGTGATAGTTTTGTTGTTGTCCATGGTTACAGAACATCATCATTCAATTTTCGCTTGTCCACTGCTGGAGATAGATCTCCCTCATAATTTTCCATCTGTTTCGATCTTGTGTCTCTTGCACCCAATTCCTAAGACAATTTTTTAGATCGTCAGCCCAACGTGTTGGTGGACGACCTCTACTTCGGTAGGTAGGCATCATCTCTTGGTCTCCATTCCGGTATCCGCTATGTCCATCTGTTATCTGTCATTCGAGCCACGTGATATACCCAATACCAGTGTTGCTATTCTCTCTACAGCATAAGTCACTCCTGATCTTCATCGTAACTGGTGGTTTGAGATATTTTCTCGTATTGAAACGGCCAACATAGCAAGCTCCATCTTTCTTTACGCCACGCAGATCTTTTTTATTGTTCTTCTTGTCATTATCCAAGCACTAAGAGTATCATGGCTGTAGTACAATCTTGTCGATCATTTCGTAGAATCGAAATATTAAAAGGTAAAACTTATATTACAAGATAAAGCTACAAAATAATATTACAGTTTACTTAAATAGATAAATAATTATAAGAAATACTCACGTAGTCTTGTCCAAGCATCGTCGGTAAAGTCCTTGGTATCGTTATTTTCATCGGGAATATAGTAATTTACATTGTTGCAATGTGTTTCCAATGGGCTCAAGTATGTCTTTACTGGAACAGAAAATAAAAAAAACACTATTTAATTGTGTAAAAAACTATAGGTACCTATGTTTATACCCTGAGGGCGACAATTTTTTCAAATCTTCATTTTTTAAGAAAAAATAGGTTAAAAACAACTTTAACGGCACTTAAATGACACTGTCCATGAATTGAGACAGTTCGCTATCGACATGACGATCACTACTGATTCTTTCTAGTGCACACCCTTGGATTTGATTCAATGTTAAAATTGATCGTGGTCTTGATCGTGCTACTATACTATAACCCTTTTAATGGATGATAGAATATATTACACGGTCAAGGTCTAATCCATAGTAATTCCAATACTACAAATAATGACGGTGAAATAAATGAATTACTATAACGTAATGACTTACGTATAAAATAGAAGTTGAATGAACAACGTACGGGCGCGAGAGGCTACTAGTAACAAAGGTAAGTAGTAGCACAGTGTTTTTACCGGAATTTAAAACTTTATTCACAAAGTTTCTGACTCAATTCTAACTTATTATCGCGCCGTAGTCATTAAAGCCACTTTTCCGCTAGAACGCGCATAAAGCAGACGTGTGTGTGCGTTTTATTTTGGTTAGGTAAGTTAAAACAAGATTTACTTTCAGAAAATTTCAGTTGTTATTATTATTATAAATTAAATTGAAGCGTAATTCCGCCATAGCCGGTCCCAAGACTGGTTAAGAAAGGGAGAGAATTAGGTCGTAGGGTTAGTTCCCCGGTACCTGGAAAACAAAAATATAAGCTAAAAATCCTAATAAGAAGCCTTGGATAATGGAAATATGGAAACTATGAATTAATTTCGCTAACTTCGAACGGTTGCCCTTGCGATTTGTTTATCGTCATTGCAAAAGCCAAACGCATGGGAAATTGGTAAGTCCATTGGAATCATCAGTATACATGGGATCAAGATGCCCCATCCTTTGTATTTTTACTTGATGATCGTTACCTCAATGACAATATTTCATTAGCCTTTTCACAGTCAGTCCCGTTCCATTACACAGTCGAGGTTGATTAATGTTACGCAGCATAATGACAACTGATGCTACTCTTAATTATTGTAAATTGTAAAAGCTCTGTAGGATAGTCGAATACGTCATCCTGGTTTATAACTGTGTCAACTGATTTGAAAGACAACAACTTTCCTGGAAGAAAATTCTGAATGGTCACATTAAGATCATCATCATACGCTCTATAGTACGTTAATGTAATATTCTTTCAGGGGCGTGCGGTGTCTGGAAGCAAAAGAAGCGTTGCTTCTATTGGTTTCCGTAGTAATGGCTTACTATCTGAGCAACTAAGAATATTTAACAAAAAATAATTTAAACCAACACTTTCCTGTTCGTAATTCTACTGTAGCAATTGTTTACGAAGTTTTGGAGAATTTAAATTTGGAGATTTACTACATCGTTTGACAATGTGGTCTTCGTCGACTGATTTTGTGAAATCAGCTGTAGTGGGTAAATGTGTATAGTATGTTTGTTATTAGGGAAATGCTTTAGTTCGTTGAATTTTGGTAAAAAATGAAACATAATTAATAAAGGTACTATATTATATTTACATGGCATGAATAGGAAAAACGATAATATTACAGCTTTCCTCGATCAATATTTTTAAATCAACTGTTCTTATCTTTTATTTTGTTTTATTTTTAATATTAAAACAATCTGATCTAAAATTATAATAAAAATTACTATTATTATTAATAACAATAATAACATACTTGATAAAAGAAGCTGAGGTATTACTGTTTTTTTAATTAAAGGTAGGTCGAAGCCTGAAATGAAAAATCTAACTACCAAAATAAAAACTTGCATCAGACATTTTAATTCGGAAACATCTTACGAACAATACGAGTGGCTAACTGATTGTGGATTTAGGAATAAACTCTTTTGCTGGTGTTGTTTGCTTTTTGTGAATGAAAATGGTGTTTGGAATCATAGTGTTTTTGGCGATTTAAACAATTTTCGTAAGGTAGTGAAACGACATGCTATGTCTAAAGCTCACTTGCAGGCTGTCATTAAAGAGAAAGTTTTTGGAAAAAAAATAGAACACCCTTTGGATAATTCCTTAAAAGTAAGTTATCAAAAACCTAATGAATTATTTGATAAAAATAGAGACGTGCTGAAAAGACTTATTGACGTTGTGTGTTTTTTTATGTTTCCATGAACTTGGGTTCAGAGGTCACGACGAAACCAGTACTTCAGCAAATAGGACAATTACATGGATCTCGTTTCACCAATGTCTAAGGACGATCCTTGTTAAGAACTCATTTAGAACAGTCCAGTGTGTTTCAAGCCACCTCAAATCGAATTCAGAATGATTTGATTTCGGCTATTTCAACAGTAGTTTCAAACAAAATAATTGATGAAATTAAACAAATACGATTCATTGCAATTATTTTAGATGAAACAACTGATGTTGGCAAGACATTCAAGACATTTGGCAAGAAGAAACAATGCCAGATGAATGGAAAGAAGGGTTATTGTACAAATACACAAAAAAGGAAACAAAAAGCAATTTATTAACTACAGGGGAATAATACTCCTAAACAGCACCTACAAAATCTTTGCAAACATCCTGCTAGAAACATCCATACATAGACGAAATCGTTGGAGATTATCAATGCGGAATTAGACCGGGCCGCTCCAGATACTATTGACCAGATATTCACAATAAAACAGATAATGGAAAAATGCTGGAAGTTTGATCGTGAGCTTCATCAGATGTTAATAGATTTTCAACAAGCATTTGATAGAGTATGTGGGGACACACTGTGGACAGCGATGCAGGAACTTGGATTTCCAAAAAAACTAGTCAGGTTGATACGGATGTGTATGGAACAGTTACGATGTAAGGTGAGAGTTGGACAACAATACTCGGAGACATTTGAAATAAACAATGGACTAAAACAGGGAGATGCACTTTCACCACAACTCTTCAACTTAGCTCTAGAGCACATAATCAGAAGTACAAGAATCGAAAAACCGAATACAGTATTTCATCAAGAAGGACCAAACTTACTACTGGCATTTGCAGATGATATAGATCTAATACTAAACACACGATTAAGGATGGAGGAGACGGAGAGGTAAGGTTTGAGAAGGAAGCAGAGAAGATGGGGCTCCAAATCAACGAAAACAAGACGAGATATATGTATATGAGCCGCAATAACCAAAGTAGACAGAATTGGTCAGAACATCACCATCGATGACTTTAACTTTGAGCGCGTTAGAGAATTCAAGTATCTTGGAACAACAATAACTGAAGACAATAACGGATCACAAGAAATAAACAACAGGATTCAGGCCGGCAACAGATGTCTTTTTGCCCTCCAAAACCTTATAAAATCAAAACAACCAACACGACGTACGAAGATACAGGTCTATAAAACAATCATACGACCCGTTGTGATGTATGGAAGCGAAACATGGACGATAACAAAGTCAAACGAAGAGAGACTATGTGTTTGGGAAAGAAAAAGCCTAAGGAAGATCTTTGTGCTGGATGAAGCATCAGGACAATATAGGATAAGAACTAACAAAGAGCTTGAAGAACTTTACCCAGACGCCAACATCATAAAAGAAATAAAGTCCAGAAGACTCCAATGGGCAGGACACCTCAGAAGACTTTCTGGCGAACGAACAGTAAGACTGGTATGGGAGGAAGTCCCAACGGGAAGGAGACCACGCAGACGCCCTCATCTCCGGTGGCGAGATAATATAGCAGGAGACCTAAGCACTATGGGCGTGGAGAATTGGATCGAGGTTGCTCAAGACAGAAAACAGTGGAGACATATTGTCGAGTCGGCTAAAACCCACGAAGGATTGTAACGCCACGGAGTAAGTAAGTAAGTAACTGATGTTACCAATTTAACCAGCTCTCTGTAATAGTACGATTTGTTAATACAGACAGAATTATACAGGAAATATTTTTAGGTTTTATAAGAGTATCAGAAGATAGAACGACAGACGCATTATATAAAATTGTTTGTGAACTTTTAAGATCCATTAATAGTTATGACCTTATTGGCCAAAGTTATGACGATACTGCGGTTATGGCTGTGCATTTGGGGGGTCTACAATTGAAAGTGTGAGAAACTTGTCCTAGTGCGATATTTAAACACTGTTTTGCCCACAAACTAAACTTAGTTTTATCCCAATCGGTCAAGTAGATCAAAGAATGCAATGGCTGCTTTCTTTTCTAAAACCTCTAAACAAACTCAAGCTTTAGATACAATTGTAAAACGAAGACTACCAAAAGTTGCAGTGACGCGATGGAATTACAACAGCAGACTAGTATTAACAATCTTAGAATACCACGATTCTTTGATTGAATTATTTAAGAGTGTTTTGGAAAATGGTGAAAAGTAGGATACAGAAACAAATACCTGTCTATTACGATGACCTGAGAAAAACTGATTTCTTGGTCTAAATACATTAAAAAGACATTAACTAAAAACCCATTAAAATTATGGAAATGAGGACCCCTTGTTCCCCTAATCAGTTATTTTATTGACACTTTCTTCACATACTTCAATTGGTTCATTCTTCCTCTGAGCGATTCAAATAATCGCTCACAACAACCTTATCTTATATTTCCTGCCTACATATCGTCAAATCATGGTGTATATATTTTTTATTTAATCCACTTTTATCTGGTTCTAAGCGATTCGAGATATCTACCTTACGGATAAATGGCCACTGCTACTGTTAGCTATTAGATGCCAGCGAGTTTTTCTACAGTAATTTAAGTCTCCACACGGCGTATCAAAATCTTAATTCCTTTCATGAATAATGATTGGCCAGGCATCATAAATGTGTTTTCTACTGGTTGATTTACAGCGAGCATAGTAATTTGTTGTTGGGCCTTCGAGATATACTACGGGTCATTTGCTAAAGAGTGATTGTTAGGTAGTATTTTTCTATTATTCGTAATACAGGATTGTGATTTAAAAATATGGAAAAAACATGTAAATTTTT